TCATCATCATCATCATCATCATCATCATCATCATCATCCCTCCTCCTCCTCCTCCTCCTCCTCCTCCTCCACCGTCCCTTCTTCCTCCTCCTCCTCATTCTCCTCATTCTCCTCCTCCTGCTCCTCCTCCTCCTGCTCCTCCTTCTCCTCCTCCTCCTCCCGTAGCCATTTTGGCTCAAACCATTTTGGCTCAAGGCTAAACGTTGTGAAGGGCTATAGACGCCCGAGAACCAGCGATTAGCCTTGGCCCTCCGTAGCCAGGGCCCAATCGTTTTGGCAACGTATCGTCCACGCGAGCGCGTGGCCCGCCCGCCCAGCCCGAAGGGCCTTCTTGCACTACTCGTTTTGGGAATCGTCCTAGTGCGTTTGAAGGAATCGGCATGGCGCGCGGCAAGTATTTGGTGTGCCCGTGGCACGGCTGCAGTGGCTGGGCCTGGGCCGACCGCGGAGCTTCCCACTGCACCCGCTGTGGCTCGAAGCTCGCCGCGAAGAAGATGGCTACCAACGATGACGTGCCCCCGGGAGGAGGTGGTGGAGTACGACCAGGCCGCCCGCGGTCAGTCAACTTTGAGGTGAAACGAGATGCAGGGCAGAAAGCAGGTGGACGACGAGGAGGACGATGGCGAGGTCGCTCGCGAGATCCCCAAGGAGCTGGCGCAGAAGAACCACCTGCCGGCGAAGAAACCACCACCGAGAAGGTCACGGACGGCGCCAAGCAGCAGGACTCCAGCGGGTCCGCCATTGAGCTCGCGCAGGCGCAGATGGCTTTCTGGAAACAGTGGAAGGGAGACGCCAGCCAGGAGTATAAGGATGCGGTCGAAGGTTTCAAACGAGCAAAGCAGGCGGCACTACAGGACAAAACACCTGATCAACAGGTCCAGAGCCTCACTGACCAGCTGGCGCAGGCGAAACGTAAGCATGGACAGTGCAGGAACACGGTCAACCAGCTCACCCAGCAGCTGGTCACGATGGCTGACAAGCACAAGAACGCGCTCGAGGAGTACGGCCAGGCGGCTGGCGAGGTGCAGAGCCTCCAGGTGCAGCTGCAGGTGGCCCAGCAGGCGGCTGCGCAGAAGGCAGTGCAGGAGGTGCCCATATCCGAGGCGATGCGCACGCTCATCGCGACCAGAATCGACAAGCCAATGGACCACATCCCCGAAGAACTCGACAAGCACATGCTGGCGGTGGCGCAGGTGCTGGAGACAATCGAGACGAAGCAGAAGAGCGAGGACGCTGCGGCTAAGGCCGCGCAACCACCAGGGGGCGCCCCGATGCCGCCGCGGCCGCAACAGAATGCGGCGCCGCGGGCATCCGCTAAGGCGAGTGGAGATGAAGAGGCCGACCCCCCCCCCCCCAAGGTTGGTGAGAAGGCTGAGGATGACGATGACTTGGCGCACGTTGCCCAACCAGCCCCAGGAGATGATGAAGCGATGGAGGCTGCACGCAAGCGAGCTGCCGACGCACTCCAGAGCAGCCAGGAGGGCATTGCCAAGGCGGATTTGGACAGCGAAGAGGCCAGCAAGAAGCTCAAGCTCTCGGCGACGGCTGCAGCACCCTCAGCTGGCCAAGGGGGTGGCGCTCGCTCGTCTTGTGGGTAGCCTGCGGACCACCACGATCAATGGCAGTTGCTGGCAGCAAGTGAAGACGTACATTCGCTCAGCTGCCTCTGATGGCGACAGTGTGATATGTGCGCAGGAGACCAAGCTATGTACAGAGCAGCCCATCGTTTACGCTAGTCAAAGGTGTGAACGGCATGGATGGACAGCCTTATTTGAGACAGGCACATTCAGCTCTACGGGAACCCCGATTTCTGGAGTATGCGTTTTGATCAGGAGTGGACGGGACTTTGGGACTCAGGACATGAAAGTGCCCAGGGAAGCTCAGGACATGGTACCTCAGGGACGCCTGGTCGGTGCAAGAGTAGAGCTGCCTGGGCTTGGTGTCATAGGAATTCTTTCCGTGTGCTTGCAGGCTAGCACAGGACTGAACGAGACAAATTTGCACCTCTTGGCGGCCACCGCCATACTTCAGCATGAATGCCAGATTCCCATTCTTGTAGCATGGGGGCTACAACATGAGTCCTGGCAAGCTGCAGAAGAATGGCTTCATACAGCGCGCAGGCATGCAGATCATGCATCCCTCCTCCCCGACGTGCAGAACCAAGACTTCTCAATCATGTTTGGATTACTTAGCATACAGTGGATGTCTCCAGCATGTGCTTCACACACCTCATGTTCATGTGTCCTACCCCCTCTCACCACATCGTCCTGTCAGTGTTCAGATCGAGATTGGCGAGGATTTCACAGCCCCTGTATTGTGCAAGCCGCAGCGATTGCCTACCAAGCCTGTCTTTGGCCCCAGGTTGCCAGAGCGCGATTGGATTGCCACAGAAGCTGCCCCAGACGCTGCCGAAGCCATCCTCAACAGGAGCATTGATAGACCGATCCAAGGGGAAAACCAACGGGTGCTTGATGAAGTTTATCACTACCTGGCCAGGGATTTGGACGTTGCGATCGCGGGTTTGACGGACACGGTTTTGAAACGCAGTTCTAGACCTCGGGCGTGCCTCCTAGGGTCAAATGGGTCAAAGCGAAACAGTTTCTGAAGACACATCGGGTGGCGTGGAAATCCCAGGCAGGCCCGCTCCGATGGCTTCGGAATGTCGTGCAGCAGTTTTACTTCACCCTCGAGAAATTAGATGTTAACGCCCTTGCCGATCTTGTTGCGTGCCTAGAGGATCCCCCGAACGAGTTTTGCGAGATAGAGACGCTCCGCGAGTGCCTAGAGACTGCCCACCAGACCTTCAATTTCCTTGTCCTGGACGTTGAAGCCGAGGTCCTGGAGATTCCCCATGGGAGACAAGTTTTGGACGACGTTTTGGAGGCCGTCAATAAGAGCCTCGACGTCGAGATCTACCTGGAAAAACGGTCTGCCAACAAAGCCTGGCGCGAGTGGGTTCATATTGGGACGCAAGGAAACGGAGGGTGGGCTCACCGATGGACTAAGATGCTCGACGCGTGGAACCCCAACGAGGTCCCTTGGAAAGGCACTTGGACTGGTAGACCCTCGCACGTCTTGGGGCACGAGGCTGAGGGACTTGGAGAGCTTCGGGGCACGACTTACCACAGGCCCCACTATCATGTCCCCGCTGGCCCTCATAAACCCCGTTTTGCAACCCATCGAGCCCCAGGATCTCATAGACGCCGCTAAACGTTTCTCGCGTGCGACAGCTTCGACATGGGATGGATTCCACCCGAAGCATTTTCAGAGTCTGAATTTGGAGCAGGCTGCGCTGGTCTGCCGATATTTGCACCTGGTCGAGAAGACAGGTATGCCCACCCAGCTGCAGGCAGTTGTCTCGGTTTTGATTCCCAAGGCCAAAGCGAAGCCAGAGGCCAAGACTGTGGCCCAGTTCCGAGGAATAGGTATGATGCCATGGCTATACCGAATATGGTCCAAGGTCCGACACATTGAAGCGAGACAATGGGAGGCAAAGCACCGCCGACCCTTCTTGGCCCACCAGGCGGGCAAGAGCATCACCGAAATAGTATTTCGCCAGAGTCTCAAGGCTGAGAATGGAGTGGCCTGCCAAGGTCCACTCCATTCAGGCGCGGCGTTGTGGGACCTCAGCAACTACTATGAGCACATCAGTCACCAGAAGCTGATAGAGAGGGCCCACGACACCGGTTTTAGCAGCGTCTTGTTGAAGGTTTTTTTAAAACCAGTACAGTAGCACGAGACTGGTGGCTACCAGAGACTTGGTCCAGCTGGTGGACCACCCCACACGCGGTATTGCAGCTGGATGTGGTTGGGCCACGTTTTTGGTACAAGTTTACAGTTTGAGTCCCCTGGATACCTGGACTGAAGCAAACTCCAAGGGCACGGACCTCCAGATGTTCATTGACGGTTTATTCCTGGGACAGCAACACCGAGACCCCCAGGCCCTAGTACGACAATTGCAGTACTCTGCGGCTAGGCTAGCAGTACTGGTTACGGAAGAGCTCGAGTGCAAGTTGGCGCTACACAAAGCTCAGGTTATTGCTTCTACCGCCAGACTGCGAAGACAAATTAGGAAGGCCCTCGGGAAGTATTCGGGACCCCAGGATGCCCACAGTGCCACCATATCTAGGGATCGACAGTGCTGCGGGGGCATCGAGGCATCGAGTACGACGACGCGCAGCGAAAGCGACCCTTTACAAGCGTTTTGTTAAACGCAAACGACGACGACACCGAATACGAGCGGTCAAGATAGCTAGAGGAGACACCAGAAAGCTTTGGAATACGGGGCTCCAGCAAGCCCTCACGTGTGGCACTGAGGTTGTCGGCATGGGTCCCCAGGAGCTCCAGAACCTCCAGACGGAACATTTGAAAGTAGCGGGGCCCCGATGCGCGACGAGAAGTAGATCCCTAAGCCTGGCGGTACTAGGAGACCCTACTTGGCGAGCAGGGCTAGGTCCTGCTCTGACCTGGTCGACCATGATCTGGCGCGCAGCGACGAGACCCAGCCGCCCCCGAGAACTACTTGAACTGAAAAGCCTAGCCGAGCCAATTTTTCTGAAACAGCCTAGGAAGTGGGCGGCCGAGAGAGGCCCTTTTGGGGCCGCCTGTCTGTCCCTTCGACGGATAGGTTGGAGTTTTGTTTCTGTCTTGGAGGTGCAGGATGCGAATGGGCATCGGTACCCGCTCACAACCTGCACTCCCAGAATGATTGCCCAGAAAATGCAAGAGGCCTGGGGGCAGGCCATCCCCAGCAAAGCCGCCGAGAAACTCGGTTACCCCCAGGAGACCCTTGACGCCAGCATCGCCCGAAAATTGTTGGCTGGGAAGACGCTGCCAAAGAACGCCAGATCCACCCTTCTTAGTTTTCTCACCCAGAGTATATGGACCAATGCGCGTTTGCAGCGAGCTGGGTACGACTCTGACGGAAAGTGTCAGTGTGGGCACCAGTGCGATGACTTGCGCCACCGCCTTTTACATTGCTCGCTCAGTGCCCAGTTACGCGACACGTTCACAGCAGATGAACTAGACACGATTTCGAAGGTGACGAATCAGGCTGTAGCGCATGGTTTCCAGTTCCAACCTGAATTCGAAACAGGGGCTCCTGACGGGTTTGGCTACGAATCTGCCGAGTTTGGGTGTCGAGACTCCAGCATGCAGCCTCACGAGGCCCTTGCTGGTGAGATTGTTGCCGATGGGTCCTGTCTCAAACCTGGAGGGCACAAAGATTATAACGTAGCTGGTTGGTCAGTGGTGGCCATCGGTGGCCACGGTGAAGTGTTTGCCTACCTCATCGGGCGTGTGGGTAAATACCCCCCCCTCCTCCCCCGCTGCTGAGCACTGTGCTGTGCTTGCTGCTGGTCTCAATGTACACCCCACACGCCCAGATGTTTGCAAATTACCAAGGAGCCATAGACGTGCACCGAAAGGAAAGTTTTTCGCGGTCCGACTTTTACGGGGCCTTCAAGGTCCTCGGTGGCGCTTGTGCTACCTCCTTGGGCCCACGGTTAAACAAGATTAAAGCGCACGTCAATATCAACGAGCTCCCAGAGTATAGTCCTGAGTGGCGGCGAGCCAAAGGCAACGACGCTGCCGATAAATATGCGAAGATCGCCGCTGCTAGAGCCTCCCAACCGAGTCAGCAAGAGACCGAGTTGCAGGAAGCCCAGAACGAACTACTGGTAAAGTATTTAACATACGTTTCAGAAGCCTTGCAGGTATGGCCACCAGTAGCCCCCAAGGTTGGTGCCAAAGCTTTTGGCAAACCGATGTAGAGTTTGAACCCGCCCACTGGGGCCGCGTCGGCTGGCCTCTCGTGGGGCCTGATACCTCCTCCTCCTCCGCCGAGGACCCCTCTCGCCTCCGATACTCAGCGTCGAAAGCGTCAGTGGCACCCCTGGGGGAAGAGCTTCATATGTGCAGCCTGCCGCCATAGTTGCGCTACTGGCGCAACCAAGGCTAGACGTGACCAAGTGGACTGCCCTGGTTACTGTGAGCTTCATAGTAACCTCGCGAGCAATCCGCGAGGCCACAATCTGTATTTCTTTGGCTACGAAGACGAACGCAGTCCCTTGAGTTTGATTTTGTGCTGGACCTGTGGAGCTTTCACCGAGAGCACCAGAGGACTAGCAGACGATTGCCCTGGCGAGCCCCCTAACCACGGTAGACGTCTGCAAACGCAGAGAGCCGCGGAGGGTAGACATCCCAAGGGGGCCGCGGATTCACCAATCGTTTTGCGTTCACCGATCCCTCTGGCCCAGCTGGTGAAAGAACTGGCTGAGACGAACCCCACCGACCTCGAGATTGGTAATCCGAGTGGGGGAAGTGTTGCCTGGGACGTTTCACGAGACGAGAGCCATCCGCCTGTCTCCGAGGTCGATCTCGCTTGCCAGGAAAGCCCCCTAGAGGGGTAGCGGATCGTGGCCGTGGACGGCCGACCCCCCTCTTCAGTCTGAGCGCTGGTCCTCCTCCTCCTCCTCCTCATTCCTCCTCCTCCTCCTCCACCTCCTCCTCCTCCTCCTCCTTCTCCTCCTCTGTTTCTCCTTTTCCTAACAAGTTCGCTGGCCCAGCGGGCCTCCGAAGGCTCAGTATGATCACGCAGAAGTGGCGGACAATGTCACGAGACGAGCTCGGCGAGCCCCACGACTTGCGGGTCCGCGGGGCCGAACCTGCGAAGATCGTGGCAGTGCGGAGCAACCTCCTTGCCCACTGCGGTGCCCGTCAACTCCAACAAGTCGTGCGCCCTCGTCCCGAGCCTCTGCCCGACCTTCGCAAACGGGATGCTGGAGCGCGGGTCGGCTCCGAGCGCAGCTCCTGCGAAGGGACTGCGCGTGTGGAAGCAGGCCTCGGTGGGTGCCCAAAGCGGCGAGGGCTGCCCCGCGTTCCCACACACATGTGGGGGGAAAACAAACCTACCTCGCTTTTGACCACCCTCGCTTCCAAGAGATACCAAACGAGGCCAAACTACGGCCTGTACTGGTCAGGCCGCTTGACAAGGGGGCGCGTGGTATGACTTGGTTTTGCCTGGAAGCGAAAGCGGGGTACGTAATTCACGCTCTGAACATGGGCTGTTTTGACAGCGACGAAGAATAAGCGGGTGTGATGTGGTGGTGGTGGTGGGAGCGAGCCAAGTGATCGTCTGCATCGGCCATGCAGCGAACCACCTTCGGAACGCATCGCGGCTGGGGGGGAGGCCCGTGACCTGATTTGCGCAATGGTGGTGGCCTTCTCCGCGCCGTCGCCGAGCGAGGTCTTCATGACTTCGCCGTGGACGGTGAGCACCGCCCCCGACATCTTGTATGGACACCCTGAAGCGTGAAAGCGGCATGGGTCTGCTTCCTGCCCTCGAAAACGCGTGGCCGACGCGTTCGCGGTCGACGGGGCTGCACCGGATGTGCCACCACGCATGTTGCCTTCCATGATGTGGGGCAGCCTGGTTACCAACTCGTGGGCCCCGTTGTACTGCTAGCCGACCTTGCTATCTAAGTGCTCCAACGGCATCTTTAGGGAAGACGCTGTCCACTGAGTGCTGCCACGGCTGCATCGGTCGCTATGGTATGGTCGCTGGTGGCCACCTGCTCCGTCTGCATGTTCTCCATCAGTTGCTTGAGCTGCTGGAACATGCCCACGGTGGATGGAGCATCCGTCGCCGTCGCGATCGCAAGACCAGACAACATGAGTGGCCGAAGCGCGGTGCCAGCAAGTCGCACTGTGGGCGGTCCGTGAAGCTGGCACGCGTGAAACCGCGGAGAAACTCCCGGTGGACGCTCGGGCCGCCCCCGTGAGCCAAAGTGGCTACGGATGATGGCAATGCTGATGAGGAGTGAAGGGCGGGGCGGAGGGTGATGAGGGGAGGGCGGATGGTGGTGAAGATGGTTATGGGAAAGATCGGGGGAGGAGGAGAAGGAAGAGGAGGAGGAGGAAGGGGAGGGGGAGGAGGAGGAGGTTGAGGAGGAGGAGGAGAAGGAACCATGGAGGTGTACTCCAGCGCGTCCTCATCAAGGGCCGCGATCTTCCCGACCTGCTCGGCAATCTGGGACGCCTGACGGAATGCAGACATCAACTTGGCGAACAAAGAGGGCAGTTGAGGCAGGCAGTACGAAGGCGGGGACGGGGAGGGAGGATGACCAGGAAGGGAAGGGGGGCGAGGAAAGACAATGACCATACTAAATCAAGGATGTGCCGACGATGCTTCAATACACCCTCCCGTCCCAACCTCTCCCCTCACCAATCCCTATAAACATTCATGTTCACTACAAGTAACAACTCTTTGAATGACGAGCAATCGCCCCCACAAATTCAGAAGGACCCGCCCTCCAGCTGTGCTTCTGAGCATATACTCAATGGATCCAGAGTTCGACCTTTGAAATTGAAGGAAGCGCTCAGAGACCCCCAGCTTGAACAGAGAGCGCCTCTTTCCACCACCTGTAGCAAGCGTTGAAGAACGTCTGGGAAGGCTTGGGGGCGCTTCTGGAGCGTCTGGGAGCGCCTAGGAGCGCCTGCAAGCGTGTGGGGGTCTGGGAGCGCCTGGGAGCGCGTGGCGAGCACCCGGGGCTGCTTGGAACCGCTTGGGCGCTCCTGGGGCGTTTGGGAGCGCCTGGAAGTCTGGGGTCTCCTGGGAGCGCCTGCGAGCGCCCTGGGCGGCTTGAGAAGCGCCTGGAGCCGCCGAGGAGCGTCGGGGTGCGCTGGGGAGCGCCTGGGAGCGTCGGGGGCGCGGACCAAGTCAAATCAATCAACAACGCCGTGTCTGCACGACACATCGGCTGAAGAAGTGCCGCCGGCTGGAGGCGCATGTCCAGACCGGGCCACAGAAATCAAGGACAATTCAAGAAAAGGTGTACCGGCTGGCGATTGTCCTCCACATGTGCGGGTTATAGTGTCCAGGACTGAGAAATTGACCGGGATCGCGGCCTCGGGGGCGCCGATCGGCTAATTTTTGGCCAGGCGCCGCTCGCCCTCTGGAGCTTCCAACTATTGATTTTGAGGTTGTGGTGCCGGCGGGCCTCACCAAAGACCCCCCGCAACCCCGTTTCGACCCAGTCGTCGTCAACATCGTCAACATCTTCGCCATTATCTCCCTCCTTCTCCTCCTCGTCATGATCGCCACGCTCTACTCGCCCATGCCCTTCCTTCGTGCCCCCCCCGCGACCTTGCTCGCCTGACTCTCCTCCTATTCATTCCCCCCTGTGCTCCTACTCCTCCTCATCCACCTCTTCATCCTGTCCCCCTCCTCACTTCCTCCTCCCTAACCCCTCAGGGTCGGCGGCACCGGCCGCAAGGCCTTCGCAATGTTGATGTTGAGCTTGTGATGCCGCCGGGCCTTACCAAAGGCCCCCCGCAACCCCGTTTCGACCCAGAGGAGAAATCAAAACCAGTGCCACGCGCAAGGCGGAGAAGGCGCGGCCAGCTTTCCGCACCGCTCGAGAGCCACCTCTCGCCCGCCGGCGGAGTGCGTCTGGCACTCCGCCAGACGCTCCGACCACTAGCCGCTCGCTGCCTGACGACTGTCAGGATCCATGCTCGCCCTGGAGCGGGCTCGGAGGAGGGGGAGGGAGAGGAGGAGGAGCAGGGGGAGGAGGAGGAGGAGGAGGAGGAGGAGGAGGAAGGAGGAGGAGGAGAGGAGGAGGAAGAGGGAGGAGGAGGAGAGAACGACGAGGAGGACGAGGAGAGGAGGGCGGAGGACAAGGAGGAGGAGGAGGAGGAGGACGAGGAAGAGGAGGAGGAAAAAAGGAGGACGACGACGAGGAGGAGGACGAGGAGGAGGACGAGGAGACGAGGAGGACGAGGAGGACGAGGAGGAGGAGGACGAGGAGGACGAGGAGAGGAGGAGGAGGAGGAGGAGGAGGAGGAGGACGAGGAGGAGGAGGAGGAGGAGGAGGAGGAGGAGGAGGAGGTGGAGGAGCGGCAGGCGCGGCCCGCGCCTGCTGGGCGAGCGAAGCCTCGACCTCGCGCGGGGTGGCGTGCCCCTCTGGCTCGGTCTGCACCTCCGCCGCCGCGGTCTGGTGCTGCGCACCCTGCGGGCGCCCCTCCCTCCCTCCCTGAGTCCCTCCAGCCCTCCCTCCTTCCATCCCTCCCTCCCCTTTCCTGCAAGAGGAGGAGGAGGAGAAGCAGGAGAAGGAGGAGGAGGAGGAGGAGGAAGAGGAGGAGGAGGAGGAGGAGGAGGAGGAGGAGCGCAGGTAGCTGAGCGCCGAACATCGTCGCAGCTACATGCTGATGGCAGCCTGCGATGCTCGGCAGAAGATGTCTGAGGGTGGGGAGCAGTGTCCCGGACTTCGTTGTACAAGTGAAAGCACAGCACCGTGCATGCACGGGCAAGCTCCTCGAGAGGAGGGAGGGAGAATCTTTTGTCGCTGGCCGAGCCCCGCAGAGCTCGGAGGTATGTGCGGCGACCCGCCGCGGCGCGTGGCGGGGCCGGGCCAGCCTCCTCGGACTGGCAGCTCGCCTCGGGAGTGCTGCGGCCCGGGGCGCACCGCCCCGGGCGGCATGCTGTCGCGAGGACCTGCGCGGGGGCCGGGCCTCCCGCCGTGGCCCAGCTCTCACAGCTCGTCGTGCGCCTCGTCCTCGTCCTCCTCGTCGCCGCCGCCGCCGCCGCCCCCTGCGCCGTAGTACTTGGAGACGATCGGGGCGCAGATGCCCTCCACCTCCTTGTGCTTCTCCTTGATGTCCTCGGGCTCTGCCTCGGGGTTGGAGTCCAGCCATGACTGCCCGTCCTTGAGGGCATCGAGGATCTTCTCCTTCTCCTCGGAGTCCATCTTCTCGCTGAGGCCCTTGTTTTCGCCGGAGCCCTCGGTTGCGGATCTCATCGAGTGGATGTAGCCGTCGAACGCGTTCTTGGCGTCCACGCGCTCCTTGACCTTCTTATCCTCGTCAGCAAACTGCTCTGCCTCCTTGATCATCTTCTCGATCTGCTCCTCCGTGAGCCGGCCCTTGTCGTTGGTGATGGTGATCTTCTCCTCTTTGCCGGTGCCCTTGTCCTGAGCTCCAACAGCCAGGATGCCGTTGGAGTCGATCTCGAAGGTCACCTCGATCTGCGGCTGACCGCGCGGCGCGGGCGGGATCCCGCCGAGCTCGAACTTGCCCAGCTGGTGGTTGTCCTTCGTCATGGGCCGCTCGCCCTCGAAGACCTGGATGTTCACGGCCGGCTGGTTGTCCTGGTAGGTGCTGAAGATCTGCGACTTCTTGGTGGGGATCACGGTGTTCCGGCCGATCAGCTTGGTCATCACGCCCCCAACGGTCTCGATGCCGAGCGTGAGAGGAGTGACGTCAAGCAGCAGGAGGTCCTGGCCGCCCTCCCCGCTCAGGATGCCGGCCTGCACGGCGGCGCCGTAGGCCACGGCCTCGTCCGGGTTGATGCCGCGGTTCGGCTCCTTGCCGTTGAAGAACTCCTTGATCAGCTGCTGGACCTTGGGGATGCGCGTGGAGCCACCGACGAGCACGATCTCGTCGATCTGGTTCTTCTTGAGGCCGGAGTCGTCGAGGACCTGCTTGACGGGACCGATGGTGTTCTTGAACAGGTCGGCATTGATCTCCTCGAAGCGGGCGCGCGAGAGCGTCTCAGAAAAGTCGATTCCTTCGAAGAGCCCCTCGATCTCTATGCGAGCCTGCTGCGTGGAGCTCAGGGCGCGCTTTGTCTTCTCGACCTCGCGGCGGAGCTTCTGAATCGACTTCTGATTCTTGGACATGTCCTTGCCGTGCTTCTTCTGGAAGATCTTGACGAAATGCGCCATGACGCGCTGGTCGAAGTCCTCGCCACCCAAGTGCGTGTCGCCGCTGGTGGCGACCACCTCGAACACGCCGTTGTCGATAGTGAGCAGGCTGACATCGAAGGTGCCGCCGCCAAGATCGTACACCAGGATGTTCTTCTCGGTCTTCTTGTCCAGACCGTATGCGATAGCGGCGGCTGTGGGCTCGTTGATGATCCGGAGGATGTTCATCCCAGAGATTGTCCCCGCATCCTTCGTGGACTGCCTCTGCGCATCGTTGAAGTACGCGGGCACGGTGACCACTGCGTGATTGACCTCCTTGCCCAAGTAATTCTCGGCAGTCTCCTTCATCTTCGTCAGGATCATGGCAGAGACCTCCTCTGGCTGGAGGTCCTTGGCCTCTCCCTTCACCTTGACGTTGATGAACGGCTTGCCACCCTTGTCGACGATCTTGAACGGCAGTAGCTTCATGTCCTTCTGCACCGTAGAGTCCTTGAAGCGGCGGCCGATCAGGCGCTTCACGTCGAACAGCGTCTGCGATGGGTTGATGGTCGCCTGATTCTTGGCGGCCTCGCCGATCAAGCGCTCGTCATCCGTGAAGGCGACGTAGGATGGGGTGATGCGGTTGCCCTGGTCGTTGGGGATGATCTCGACGCGGCCGTTCTTGTAGATGCCCACGCACGAGTAGGTGGTCCCCAGGTCGATCCCGATGACAGGGCCGTCGATCTTCTTCTCGTCGTCCTTGGCAGCTCCCCGCGCGGCGGCCGAGAGCACGAGGGCCGCCCGGAGGGCCCGCTGCATCTTGCCGAAGGCTGCCGGCCGAGGGGCGTCGCGGGACAAAAGGGGGCGCACGGGCGGTATCGCCCTGAGCAAAAAAAAAAGGCTTGAGCCAAAATGGCTACGGAGGAGGGAGGGAGAAGGAGGAGGAGGAGGAGGAAGAAAAGGAGGAGGAACAGGAACAGAAGCGGGATGAGGAGGGGGCGGGAGGAGGGCAGCTGGAAGGCATCATCTTCCACGCGAAGACGGCAAACTCGCGCGACAATAACAATATCAAACTTTAGCTTGCTGCGCACGCTTCCGTGAAAACAATGGTCAACGGCATCTTGCGTGCTGGCCAATCATCCGGTGGCCGCAAGATGTACGGGCAGGCGCATGAAGGGGGCCTCGAGAGGAACATTCAACGCTTGCTCGAGCAGATCGGAGCGATGGTAGCCGACGACGAGGGAATCCTGGAAGGGGCAGTACGTGAACTCCTTCACCCTGGTCTTCTCGCCGTGCGACCTACTTCTTCGAGGTGAGGCGCTTGTGAGGGGGCCGTCAGGGGCCATCCCGCTCACTGGCTGTGGAGGGGCAGCCAGCGGCGGGGGCACAGCTCTGTTTAGGACCCACTTCGATCTTGTAACAGTGATGCGGGAAGCTGGGAGGTCATCCAGGCCGTCGGTAACCTTGACCGTCCTCGCCATCCTCCTTCTCCTCCTCTCCTCCATCCGCCCTCCCCTTGCTCCTCCTCTTCCTGCCCTTGCCCCCCTTCTCCTCCACCACTCATACTTCCTTCTCTTCCTCCCCCCCTTTCCCCACCTCATCCCCTCTTGTCCTCCCTGGCTCCCCCTTCTCTCCGATCCTCCTCCACCTCCACCTCCAGCCCTCCTCACATCCCCCCTGCCTCCCTCTGCCTCCTCTGGCTCTTTCCTTTCTCGCTGACTCTCTCTTTCTCTCTTTCCTACCTCTCCTGCGCCCCTCCCCCCAATCCCGCCTCCCCCAACCTCCTCCGACCTGCCTTGTTCCCTATCCCTCCGACGGCGGTCTCAAGCAAACACACGGCCCGCCCCGGTGGTACGTCTGATGGTGCGACGGGGATCTGATATATGCATGGACATTAGAGGGGAATGGAAGAGGGGGAAGCACGGGGACACGAGCCGTTGCCTACGCAGCGAGTGATCTGAAGGGCTTCAATCCCAGACACGCGACGTCCTGATTTGTTCAGTCTGGGGTCCCTGGAAGTCCCGACCCTTTCCCCGGGGACCCGTTCTCCATCCTGAGCCGTTGTTTGACGGTCCCGAGGCCCGGCGAGGGCCCCCCGAGGCCGAAATTGGCCAAACACCTTTCTGGGACTCCTGCACGGAAGGCGACTCTCACTCCCAGCGTGCGGGAACAAAACGGGCCCGTGCCGCGCCGTGCCCCGCCCGCGGGCCGTGGCGTGCTGCTGGCTGCCAGAATCCACGCCATGAGAAACATGCCGCCCGCGTGCCATGCCGTGCCGCGTGCACGCGGGCCGTGCCGTGCCATGTCCGCGCATCGTGCCGTCCCTGGACTCCGAGGTGCAAGAAAGGAACCGCCCACATTCCTCCTCCTCCTCCTCCTCCTCCTCTTCTCCTCTTCTCCTCTTCTCCTCTTCTCCTACTCCTCCTCCTCCTCCTCCTCCTCCTCCTCCTCCTCCTCCTCCGTGCCGCGCCCGCGTGCCATGCCGTGCCGTGCCCATGCCGTGCACGCGCAGGTCGGTAATGACTCGCCGTGCGTCTTCTCGTGCAACGTTGTAGTTGGCGGTCTCCGTGCGAGCGTACAGTAAGCGGAGGTGGATGCGGAGGAGAAAAAACAATCACGATGAGGAGGGGTAGCAGGGGGTGATGGAGGGTTAGGATGACTCGTGGCCCATTACACTTCTCTCACCCTGCTCATAATCTCGTTTGCCACTCTCCTCCCCCTCCCACTCCTCCTCTCTTCCTCCTCGTCTTCCTCCTCCTCCTCCTCCTCCTCCTCCTCTTCATATTCTTCTTCTTCTTCTTCTCCTCCTCCTCCTCCTCCTCCTCCTCCTCCTCCTCCTCCTCCTCTCCCTTCTCACTCCCAGCGCCTGCACCCCATGAAAAGGACACGTAGGAGGTGGAGGAGGGAACGGGTTCAGAGACGAGCGCGCGACGAGGCATCGTCACCGATCCCGCTGCTGCCGCTTTCGACGTCGTCGTCGTCGCCGCCGCCGCCGCCGTCGCAGTTGTCGTCGTCGCCGCCGCTGTCTTCGTCGCCGTCGTCGCCGCCGCCGCCGTCGCAATTGTCGTCGTCGCCGCCGCTGTCGTCGTCGCCGTCGTCGTCGTCGCCGTCGTCGTCGTCAGCGTCGTCGTCCGTCGTCGTCGTCCTCGTCGGCCGTCGCCGTCTTCGTCGTCGTCGTCGTCGTCGTCGTCGCCGTCGACGTCGTCGACGCCGTGCTCGCGGGGGATTGCGAGAAAGAGCGAGCCCTGCGCAGGACGAGCGGCGGGCGCGGCCCGCGCCTGCTGGGCGAGCGCGGCCTCGGCCTCGGCCTCGCGCGGGGCGGCGTGCCCCTCCGGCTCGGTCTGCACCTCCGCCTCCGCGGCCTGGTGCCGGTGGCCCTGCGGGCGCCCCTTCCCTCCCTCCCCGTCTCCCTGCGAGCGGAGGCGGCGGCGGCGGCGGCGGCGAAGCGGCGTTCGGGCAGAAGGCCGAACAGGCATCGGGCCCAAATCGCCATCGGATGGACTGAAGGACTGAGGGCCCCTACCGTGCGCAAGACGACTGTGCGATGGAATGGCCCCGCGGCGGGAGCCCCGAGTTGTCCTCGTTCAAACACAAACCAAGAGCACGGACGAGAGGAGGAGGAGGAGGAAGAAGAGGAGGAGGAGGATAGATCGATCGAGCGACCTCTCGGGCCAGTTCGGTGCTACACCCCTTCGACTCGAGCTGAACAGCAATCACAAATCTGGTGCGGCCTAGCTGTGTTCACATCGTAGAAAAAGGGCCGCTGGCGTCACCGAAACGCTCTGGCCACCGACCTCCCCACACAGAGGTCTGCGGGCAGGGTGACACCCGCGTTTGCGGGTGCCCTGTCGCCTGCTTCTCCTCGCCCCTGTCCTGGCCCCTTCTCCCCCTGCCCTTTCGTCTTGGTTCGGGGGGGAGAGATCGGCGCGCCGCAACATGATTCGGAATTCGCGGGCCCTGCAACTGGAACAGATCTGGCGTGTTGTGCCTGGGAAGTGGAGGGGGTCTACCTGCTTGCACGAGTTCTTTGAAACGGGCGTTCATTTCGAACGCTCTCGGCACAGGGCGAATGATGGAGGTCGGCAACATAGAACGAAGCAGCACCCCGTGCCCAGGCGTTTCACGCGTGGCCACCTCTGGCCCTCCCCGCGCCACTCTCGCCGGCAACCCATGGACCCCTACACGCAAACGTGGGGGGAGGCGTCGCGGGAGCGACGGGTGTGTAGCCGTTTACCAGCCTGCCCAGATGCCGCTCGAGCGCCCCTCTCGGCGCCGCTCCGACCTGTCTCGCGGCCCCTTCCTGCAGCTGCCGCGCGGCGATCGTCTCGAGCTGGTGGTGTACCTGTTTGAACTGAAACTGGAACCTGCACTTCGTCGCGTTGCCGTTGTCTTTCTTGCCCTCGTTGCGCTTCGCTCTGGCGACCGGCGCCGAGTCCGCGATCATCTCCGCGCTGCCGCCCAGCGCCGTCTCCTGGTAGTACTTCTCCACGCGTTTCTTCTCGGCGCCGCCCTCCAGGCTGCGCCCCAGGTGGGCAGCGATACCCGCCCAGATCGTCACGCGCGGGCTGCCGAGCGACGCTGCGCCCACCTGCTCGCCCCGAGTTGCCCGGCGCATGGGCCCCCGCGCCGCGTCGCTGCACTCCGTGCCAGGAGTCGAGCGCCAGAAACGATGCCACAATTCGCAATGTTTTCACACGTCTGCGGCACCGCCGATGTCGGTTCTGCCTGCCCCCTTGCCAGCGCGAGTACCAAGCGCGCCGTGAGGTCCACCATCTGCGCGTTGCCGCTGCGCGCGCCTGTGACTGCCGCTGCGTGCCCAGCGGGCGGTCGCCGACCTCAGCTGCGGACTGGGCGTCGTCGTCCTCCCCCCGGTTGCGGCGCTGCCCCCCGCTGCGGACGGTCGTCAAAGACCGACATATTGCGCTGTTGGCTGCTCTGCGGGCCATCGCAATCTGCGAGGGAAGTGCGTACGCGAGCGTCTTGAACGACCCCCTCTGTCCAAGCCCAGATGACGACAGATAGAGCGCGTCGGATTGCGGGGTTCAGGCTGGCACTGCATTGTTTTTCCGATCTGTATTTCACTAGCATCGGGTCATGCTTCGTGTCAGATGCTTCCAAGCGGTCTCTTTGCATGTGAGGCACTCGCTCGCAATGAATGCACTCGTCGTCCGTCGATAGCACGGCCGCTAGATTGTGCGCGTGACGATTGCGCGCGTCATGGCTGCGGAGCGCCTCCTTGCTTGCGAACAGTAGCCCGCTGTCCTCCTCCCCCTCCATGAGTTCGCATTTCCATGGCTGCAGTTCTTGTAGGGCTTGATGTTCTCGCAGTTCGTCATCCTGGCCAACTCCTGAACGGGGGGGCGCGATGGCTGATTTAGCTGTCCAGTGGGTGCATTTGTTATCGAACATGTTTTGCGAACGTTTCCCCGATCGAAATGTCGCCTCCGAAGACGTCGGCAAAACTCTCCGAAACCTCGCAGGCGCACGCGACATCTTGAACGACGCGGCGGGCCCAAGGGCTCTCGTCGCTCTTGGGCCCCCCCTGCCTCTCAAACCCGCGCTCGCCACGCGTCGTAACTTTCAACTGCCTGTGATTTCTCAGGAATCACAAGACGCTTCTCGCCAGCCAAATCGGCGAACCAGCACCTCTCCCGCTGGCGGCAGGTATGGCTAGCGGCGGAAATCCTCCAGGGTGGTCACGCTCCTCGCGCTACCATCTGGACGGCGAGTGGGCGCTCGCCCTCGAATGTCGCGCCCGATCAAGGCCCTCGCCGCGCTGGGCAGCTGCCAGCAGTTCCTCTGCGCAGGGGGGAAAGCAC